AAGTGGTGTCAAACTGCCTCATTTCTGCAGTGTGGCTACACCCTCACAACCCTAAACTCAGGCACTGCAAACATGCCAGACCATTAGAACTGCCAGAGTGAAAACTGGAGAGGACTCCTGTCCCTTTAATGGCTATGTCTAACAATGAATTTCAGTAGCTGTTGCTTGTTACCTGGTTGTGTGACAAACTTTGTTGTTGTTAACTGCTTTAGAGTCGACCTTGGCTCATGATGACCCTGTGGATGAGACGTCTCCAAGACTCCCTGTCCTCCACTCCTCTACTTAGGTCCTGTAAGTTCATATCCATGACCTCGCTAATAGAGTCTACCCATCCGCCTTGTGGTCTTCCTTTCCACTGCCCTCTACTTTCCCCAGCATTATTGTCTTTTCTAATCAGTCTTTCCTTCTCATGATGTGGCCAAAACACAATAGCCTCAATTTAGTCATCTTGGCTTCCAAAGAGATTTCAGGCATGATCTGTTCAAGGACGTATTTGTTTGTTTTCTTGGCCATCCACTGTATCTTCAGCACTCTTCTCCAGAACCACATCTCAAATGAATTCATAGAATCATAGAGTTGGAAGAGACTACAAGGGCCATCGAGTCCAACCCCCCTGCCATGCAGGAAATCATAATCAAAGCATCCCCAACAGATGGCCATCCAGCTCTGTTTAAAGACCTCCAAGGAAGGAGACTCCATCTTCCTATCTGCTTTCTCCAACTCTCACACCCATACATGGTGGAGGGGAATACAACAGCTTGGACAATTCCAACTTTAGTGTTCAGCTGTATATCTTTACCCTTTAGGATTCTGTCTAGTTCTTTCATTGCCGCCCTTCTCATTCCTAATCTTCTGATTTCTTGGCTGCAGTTTTTGTTCTGATCACTGTTTGATCCCTGTTTTGATCCAAGGGGGGTGGCATAGTGGTTTGAATGTTGGATTAGGACTTTGGACACCAGGATTCAAATCTGGCTCAGCCATGAATCCCATTGGGTAACCCTGGGCAAGTCACACACTCACAGGGTCGTCACAGGGTCATTGTGACTCGAGATCGATTCGAAGGAGGTTAACAACAACAAAAACAACAAACAAAATTAGTTTTTTGTGAGTTTTTTGGGCTGTGTGGCTATGTTTTAGAAGAGTTTCTTTCTGACGTTTTGCCAGCATCTCTGAAGATGCCAGCCACAGATGCTGGCGAAACGTCAGAAAGAAACTCTTCTAGAACATGGCCACACAGCCTGAAAAACCCACAAAAAACTATGGATGTTGGCCTTGGAAGCCAACAAACAAAATTGTTTAAAATACCGTATAAAATTAAATTCAGGCTATGTGTATATGAAACATAAATGAACTTTAAGTTTAGACATGGATCCCATCTCCACAATTCCCATTCTCATTATGCGTTGTTGTTGTGTGCCTTCAAGACGTTTCCAATTTAAGGTAACCCAAAGCCGAACCTCAGGGTGCAATTCCCAGCTTGGCCATGAAACCCACTGGGTGACCTTGGGCAAGTCACTCTCTCTCAGCCTCAGGGGAAGGCAATGGCAATCCTCCTCTGAAAAAAATCTGCCAAGAAAACCCCCATAAGTCAGAAAGGACTTGAAGGTAAACAACAACAACAACAAACGGGAAACTACCTTGACAAAATACACCCGTAGAGATCCTCTCATCTACACACCATTCCCATGAAATGTCTGACTTTTTAGTCAGACATTTAGTTCAGCCATGAAACCCAGTGTGACCTTGGGCAAGTCACACTCTCTCAGCCTCAGAGGAAGGCCATGGCAAACCCCCTCTGAATAAATCTTGCCTAGGGTCGCCATAAGTCGGAAACGACGTGAGGGCACACAGCAACAAACACAACCGTTCAACAGTTTCCACTCTGGAGACTCCAACCATTTCTGGATCGTATAAAAACCCACAGCAAAGGAAAGGAAAGGAAAGGAAAGGAAAGGAAAGGAAAGCTTGGGCTGCCGGCCCTTCTCCGCCCCACAGAAGCCCCAGAGTCAGGCAACCCCCACACACTTGAGGTCCGGCCTGCCTTGGAAGAGACCTCGGACGAAGCCCTCCATCTCCAGCTTCTCTCCAGTCCTCTGGGCAGCCATTCTTTCCCGCCACCCAACGCCTCAGAGCCCTTTTCCTCGCAAGGGTTCATGGGGATTGTAGTCCCGTCAAACTGAGGTGAAAAAGAAGAGGGTGGGCGGAAGTTGGGAGAAGCGGCCGTTGCGGGGCGCAGTGCATCTTGGGTACTGTAGGCCCTGTGGTCTCGTGGGAGGTGTATTGTAGTTCATAAATAACTGGGAGCATCTCATCCCTCCGCATTTGTGGCTTTGACTTTTGCAGTTTTGATTATTCACGGATTTTATTAATATCTTCTCTGTGGGAATACCTAGTTCTTCCAGCGCAACTCTGTGGTCAACTTTAACCAAAGATCGCACTGAAGGCCCTAGAGATTCCTAGAGAGAACACTCCACTAAGCATTTGTAGCTCCTCCAATGCAATGCTATGGTCAATGTCTGGCAGATGTTGACCACAGAGTTGTACTGGAGGACCTGGAGAGTCCTAGAGAGGCGTAATCTCAGGTAAAAACATGGGGCCTTTACAGATTGCCAGAAATAATGCACTTTGAGGTCACTTTAACTGCCCTGGCTCAGTGCTAGGGAATCATGGGAACTGTAGTTTATTGTGGCACTAGAGCTCTCTGACAAAGAAGGCTCAATGTCTCAGAAAAAAATAGTTCCCATGATTCCCTAGTACTGAGCCAGGACAGTTAAAGTGGCCTCAAGTTGCCTTATTTCTGGCAGTCCGTAAAGGCCCATAGTGTTTTTTTATTTGCTATTCTTCCACATTCATGGGGGTCCTGTGCATCTAACCCTAGTGAATGTGGAATCACCTCAGGGGAGAAACCAACGAGTTTGGAAAAGAGAGCGACAAGAGAGCTGAAAACAGAAAGACCAAAGCAAAACCTCGCCCCTTCCTCTCCCTATTGCATGCTGGGAGCCGTAGTTCCTCGCCTACTTCCGGCCTTTCGTTTCTGGGGCATGCTGGGAAGTGTAGTTCTCTCGCCTCTCCTCCTGGTTGAGGTCTTGGTTCCTGTCCCAAGTGACTCCCCTAGGCGGGCATGAACGGGGCTGGGGAGCCGGACCCAGGCGGCGGGGGCTACAAGCGGCGCTACCGGGCCCTGAAGCGGAGGCTCAAGTTCCTCATCTATGTAAGGGCCGGAGGGGGAGATGAGGAAGGAGAAAGGGTCTTCAGGAGGCGGTTTGGGCCTCTATGGCTGTGTCCACACTGCAGAAATAATGCGGTTTGACACTACTTTGACTGCCGTAGCTCAAGGCTATGGAATTCTGGGAGCTGCAGTTGGTTGTGGCGCCAGAGGCAACTCCCAGAATTCCATAGCCTTGAGCCATGGCAGTCAAAATAGTGTCAAACCGCATTATTTCTGCAGTGTGGATGCATCCTATGTGTATGTGTTTTAAGTCCTTGGGGGTGAGAGGAAGAGGAGGGTTGTGCCACCTTCAGATGTTCCCTATTCCAAGCCATTTTGTGTGTGTGTGGGGGGGGAGTATTCTGGGGTTGTGGGAGACATAGGATGTGAGAGGTAGCACGTATTGAGTGTGGAGTGTGACCTACAGGTTGACTCTCCTTTCTCTGACTACTCCCAAAACCAACAACGTTTTTTCCATGGGTGGCTGAGAGAGTGTCACCTTTGCCTTCTGATGGTTTCAATGTACAGTCGGCCCTCTATATCCACAGATTTTTTATTCACGGATTCATGCATCCACAGCTTGAAAATGTTATATTCTAAAAAGCAAACCTTGATTTTGCCATTTTATATAAGGGCGTATATTATATACGGTATTCTTATATATAAGAATCTGTTTCTTTTCTCTGCAATCCCTAGTCTCCCCTCTCTGCAATCCCTAAGTACTCCCAAACCCAACAACTTTTTTTCTCCATGGGTGGCTGAGAATCTACATAAGAATCTATATAAGAATCTATTCTTATATATAAGAATCCTATGTCTGCTTTTTTGCAATATCAAGGATGATAATGCAGATCAAAGAGCCAGCATGGTAAAGGTTTTGAGTGCAGGATTGGGACTCCAGGAAACCATGGTTCATATCGTCACTGAGCCAGGAAATGCACTGCGTGGCCTTAGGTAAGTTACACTCTCTCAGTGTTTGTTGTTGTTGTTGCCTTCAAGTAGTTTCCGACTCATGGTGACCCTATCATAGGGTTTTCTTGGCAAGCTTCTTCAGAGGGGGTTTGCCGTTGCCATCCTCAGAGGCTGAGAGAGTGTGACTTGCCTGAGGTCACTCAGTAGGTTTATATGGCTGAGCTGGGATTCAGAACCTGGTCTCTAGAATCATAGTCCAGTGCTCAAACCACGACACAAATAGCAAACCTCCTTGGAATAAATCTTGCCAAGTAAAACCCTGTGATTGGCTTGTTATAAGGCAGATTCGATTTGAAAGTAAGGAACATCAGCAGCGGTGACCTATCTTGCAGGGTCATTGTAAAGAAGGGGTTGCAAACCTTTGACTCTCCAAATGTTTTCAGTTGCATTTCCCACAATCCATTGGCCATTCTGGGAATAGATAGGAATTCAGTTCAAAACTTTTGGGAGCTCCCAAAAGCCTATATGTTGCCAACCCCTAATATTTGTGAAGATCTTTATTTACGTATTTATTAAAGCCAGTTTGTTTCAATCTAAACAGCAGTTTACAACTGCACCTTCAGTTCAGTAATTTAAAACCAACAGATAGGGAAGAATGATGGAGCAAACTACACTGTCCTGTATCAATATGGATGATGATATTAGAATAAAGAACAGAACTTGGAAATTGTGCTTTTTAGACTACAACTCCCAGAATACTCCACCTAACTTTTACTACCGTAGTTAAACATGACAGACTAGAGGATTCTAGTTAAATATGCTGACTAGAGGATTCTGGAAGTTAGAGAACAAAAGTAACCTTTAAAAGCTTTAATGAGACGGCAGTGTGGTGTAGTGGTTTGAGCACTGGACTAGGAATCTGGAGGCCACAGTTCAAATCCCGGTTTTGTCATGGAAACCCACTGGGTGACCTTGGGCAAGTCATACTCTCTCAGCCTCAGAGGATAGCAATGGCAACCCCCCCCTGAAGAAACCTGCCATGAAAACCCTGCCTTAGGGTCGCCATAAGTTGGAAATGGCTTGAAGGCACACAACGTTACCAAAAATGTAAGGCAAAAAAATCCAAAGGGTGTTTTCTTCCACTAGTAAAGAAATAATAATCAATACAATAACTGATAGTATGTTGCTCTAATGACTCCCCAAATCTGCTACCTGAGGCTGTTTACTACTATGGCCAGTCCTGGGACAGAAAAATCAACTGGAGAGGAGGTTGAAGTTGCAGGAGCCTTGAGTAGGCAGCATCCTGACTAACAGTGCTCTGCTCTGTCCTGTCTCAGGAGCAAGAATGTTTTCAAGAAGAGCTGAGAAAAGCACAGCGAAAACTCTTGAAAGTTTCACGGGATAAAAGGTGAGCTAACAAGTCAAGGGCAGAGGAGCTTAAAATAGGGAGAGCTGTGGGCTTGAGAAGCGATGAGTCTAGTGTGGGAAAATGAAGACAGCAAGGTGGGTTAGCACTCTTTTTTCTGGCAGGGGTCTTGGCCCACTTGACATCTGCATTACGGGGAAATTCAGCAGGTGATGTTTTCCTTGTCCTTGCATCCCTATCTTAGGAGAAAATGGCACTTGTTAAGTTTCTGCCTGTAAACCTGCTAATAGAAGCAGAGCAGTGCTTTCTCCCCCAAAACAGTAACCCAGTAATGTGGGAGTATGAATGAGGACAGTATTGGAGATGGCAGAAGGGTTTAATTTCTGTCATGGCTACCTAGTATTCAGCAGAATCTGTTTTTTTAGAGCAGGACAGAGTAATAGACTACAATAAGAAGTGATTTAAAAAGTGTCCCAGAGTATCTCTTTCCTACGGTTGAGTTACGTTGGTCAGATTCTGCAGATGGCGCAGGTCTTGAGCAAGCTTGAAGCCCTGATTGTTCCTTGTCAGGAAAAATACTAGGTTTAAGTTAATCTTACTTCCTCTCCTTCGGCCTATTTCCTCTTTCCAGTTTTCTACTTGATCGCCTTCTCCAGTATGAGAATGTGGATGAAGAATCCTCAGGTAAATTCAAGGCTCACAACTTCCTTCTGATTGGGTGTTTTGAGGACGTGAGGATGCTCTCCATAGACATGGAACTGTGAAATAAAATACAGTGAAGCTGAATTGCTAAAGTGAAATGAAATTTTGCTAAAGCTGAAACAATAAAGGAGAGTCAAGGAGGAAGAAAACAGAAGAAAACAGAAGGATTGATTCGCAGTGCAGAACACAGTACTTCTATGTTTATATTGTCTTTATGGTTTTTGAATGTGTGGTTTCATATTATATTATGACCTGAGTTGTTGAGAGCCATTTTATTTAATGCACAGGTACTGGAGGTGTGAAATATGCATTTTTATGTAAATTAAGTTTAAAAAATAAATTTTATTAATTCTGGATCTCACTCAGGACACATTCATCCATAAACTTATGTCTCGTTTTAAAAAGTAATGAGTCATTAACATCTATTATTTGCTTAGAGAGTGAGGAAGTGAGCACTAGGTCAATATTATTATTATTAAAGTTTATTTCTAGAGCGCTGTCAGTGTACTCAGTGTACAATAAAACATCTCAGCAGCATTGTAAGCTAAGAGATAAAACTAAGATGCCAGAAATATAGTCAACTAAGAAATTGATTATACATTTGATGAAATGTAATTATTCATATAGATATTTATATGTATAACGATGCTGCACTGAATAATAATTTGAATCTTGAACTAGGACTCTGGAAAAGTGGGATTTGAATTCCTTCTCAGCAGTGGGAACCCACTGGCTGTTTTTGGGCAAGTCACATTCTCTCAGCCTCAGTGGAATGGCTGAATATATGTTGCTAAGAAAATCTTAGGATAGAGTCCCTGTAAGTTGAAGTTGACCTGAAGGCATCTAACAAAAAACAACATGATGCTTGGACTGAAGTTATGGTATTTGAGGAGAGTGATATTATCCTCTAAACTGCAGCCATAAGAGGCCAAGTTTTTCAGTCTGTAAATGCAAATGTTCCTTCATATGTGAAGAATTGTTGAGTCAGAGGTAGCATCTCTGTTGGAAATGTTGCCATGTTTAGAAGGCTGTTTCTCTCAGGATTAAAATGCCTTGCTATGAGTTGTTCCACCTTTTTGGTGATGATTGCTATTTATGGCTCAGGAATGTTGTGCAAAGATTGGTGGTGGTTTTTCTGACGTATTTTATGTTGCATCCAAGGTGCTGGCATTTAGCAATACATACAACATTGGTGGAATTACAATGTTTTGATACAATGGATTTAAGCAGTGGTGCTGTGTTTATAAGTGGTGCTTTTGTTTTACACAAGTATGAAAAACTGACACATCACTTGGATGCACAGTAATGTGTTTCAAGGCTTTCAGGTGGTCTTTCAATTCCAGCTCAGATTTAAGGTTCATATAAATACTCTGACACATATTCATACAAACACCTGCTACCAGTTTCTTAATTAATTCAAGATCTCCTCACCTCCTTCCCTCTGTCTCTCCCTCCCTCCTAGTGATCTCATCCTGTAAAAAGGATGTGGTAAAAAGTTGTTGCCTTCCAAGATGTGTTGAATTACCATCCCTGAGGAATTATGAATGTGGTATCTAACACATCTTGGAGGGGAACACCAGATTGGGGAACTTGCTTTTGGACTGCATGTGGCCCTTGAACCCCACTTTTATAGATGCTGAAGCCCAACCATCCCTTAATCTTACAAAAAAACAGCATGATTTTTGGACAATTTTTGTCCACAAACTATGCAGAAAGATGCCCGACCACGTGAAAACACACAAAAATAATCCCATCCCCCCAAAAAACATCAGATATGTCTCATTTCCTTGGCATCCTTTTCAAAATGGCAACAGGAAATGATGCATGATGTCATTTTTTCTCACCATTTTGAGAGGGACTGTACAGGAAAACAGAGGTATTTGTTCCTATTTATTTATTTATTTATTTCACTTTCTATGCCACCTTTCTCCCAAAAAAGGCGCCCAAGGCAATCACAAGATTAAAAAAAATCACAATAAAAATTTAAAAACAATTAAAATAATCTAGTTAAAATAGTATAAAATTAATACAAAAACATACTAAAGTTAAAAACATAACTAAAAACACACATCCCATGTAAAAAAACCACCCTGTCCCAATTATATGTTTAAAAACCTATTTAAATAAAAATGTACAATGCTTCCTAATTTTTCTTCCTTCCCAGAGAAGGAAGCCCAAATACTTGTTTTCCACTGCAATATGTCTGATATTTGTGGGGTGGGGTGGAGTGAGATTATTTTCACATGACTGGGTTTCTTTCTGCATGGTTAGGGACAAAAACTGTTCCAGGTTGAATAAGTGAGTTGTGACTTTAATTTTCTTTTGGAAAAAAAGTTGTTAAAAGCTGTTGCATGATAATGAATTAACTACTGTCTTGATCCATGAAATAGTTTTGGTTATTTATTTTCATAATGATCTTTCTTGTTGTTGTATCTCTTGTGACTCACTGTTGAGTATAGACATTGCAGAAGTGGGTTTTTTATAAGTGAACTTGAGTTGATATGACTTGATCTGTCCAATCTTGGCGATCTAAAATGTTGCAGGTTATATATCCAAATATATACAGGTCTACAAGTTGGAGTGCTTCTTTAGTCCATGCAACATCACAGTTTTCTTGAGATAGCTCCTCTTTCTGATGAAAACGTCCAGAATCCCACAGCTTGGTCATGGTTGTGCTAGGTTGAGTAACTTTTCCAAGCTCTGACCTTATGTATACCTTAATAAATGTAGTACTGGAAAGGTTAATAGTTAAAAAGAATTTGAAGGAACATTATAACATGTTCCTGAAGGGTCAACAACACAAGGCTGAAAGTTGTGAAGGCATGGATGCGCGCTCACAGTGGAGTCAGTAGGGTGCAGCAGAACTCATAAATCATATTTAGACAAGGGAGAGCTGAGTTCCAATTCTACTCTGTCTTGAGGTTCATTGGATAACCTTTGCTAGATACTGTGTCTCAGCCTAACTTGCCTCTGGGATATTTCTTGGAGAAAAGAATGCTCCTGTTATGCCCCTGACTTCCTATATTCACATATGATTAATCCCCATTTTTCTGTTTCAGACTCAGAAGCGACAGCCTCCTCTGACAACAGTGATGGGGAGATGCCCAAGGGGACAGAGCCACAGTCCTTAAAAAGGTGAGTGAGTGAGCCAGCATGGTGTAATCAGAGCAGTAGTTTCTAACCAGATCCTCCAGTTGTTTTGGTCTTCAGCTTCCTTACCATTGGTCAAGTTAACTGGGGCTTCTGGGATCTGAAGTCCAAAACTAATAGAGAACCAAAGATTGAGAACCACTGCCTTACTACATTTATTGTACATCACATACAGAATCATTTATATATTAATTTATGTAATTAATTTATGTAATAAATGCAACAATATTTTTAACCAAATCCCATAACATCACAACTGCCATTGAGCAGATGCAAAATTGTCTGCCGCTTTTGGATGACACCCACCATGGGGCAGAATCCTTTTGTGGGACACTTTTGTCTTGCCTTCCTGACCATGTCAATTTGGAAACAGAAAGGAACTTCTGCTGTTTTTCAGATATGGCCAGGATAGTGAATTTATGACTTTTCAAACTGTGTTGGAGTGCAGCTCCCACCCTTCCTTAACCATCAGCTGTGCTGGCTTGGGCAAGTGGGAGTTGCAATCCAGTGATTACTGGAGGGCTATATGTTCCCCACCTCCCTGCTCTCTGACTTAACACAACAGGCATGTAGCACAGAGCGACCTGTTTTAGAACTAAAGAAGGTTGCTTCTCATACCCTTATTAAAACAGCTCCAGCTGATTTCTTTAGCACAATAGGTATACCTGAACAGGAGATCACACCACTAGTTGCTTTGATATCATGGCTTGCGCTGTTGGGAAAATGTTCATCCA